TCTCTCTCTCTCTCTCTCTCTCTCTCTCTCTCTCTCTCTCTCTCTCTCTCGCACCTGGCCTTAGGAAGCTCTTTCTGGAGAGCCACCATGGGGAGCAGCACAGTCCTGTTCTATCAGGCGAGAATACTCTGTGCCTGAGCCCACTGCCTCCTCCCCAGGAGCCACCCCTCCCTCAGTGGTACTGCACTGGTCCTCTGCAAATTCAGGGATTCCTGGATTGAATGAACCTTGCTAGAGGATGACCACGCACAGGGATCCAGGATCAGGACACCCTACCCCACAGCTGGGCCCTTTCCAGCCTCGGGACAACAGTTCCCTGGATTGTTTTTGAGGTACTGGACTTCTGGTTTGCAGCAGAGGCAGACATCACCCGTCTCAACACAGTCCCAGCCAAGGGCATCACTATGACCCCCGGGGACTCCTCTGCCAGGGCCTCCGCCCCTTCACAGCATGAAAGCCAATCTGACTACTAATGGGAAAACCGACCCTTGCTGCATCAGGAGGCAATAAATTTTGTGAGTCCGGGTGAGAGAATGGAAGCAACCTCGGGGGCTATAATTTCCACTTCCTGACATAGTGCAAGCTTCTCAGTTTATGCAGAACTAATTAAAGATCTCTCATGTCTTACCGTTTCCCCCACCAGGCACCCATAAAACACCACAGCAACGGCAGCCACCAGACTCCAGAGAGTGAGGCGTGCACTCCTGGCTGAGTGAGTCTCTTTCTGAGACCCCTCTCCCGCCCCCGCCCCCACCCATACCTTTCCTTCCTGCTGAATTTCCTATTCTGGAAGGTTCTGGAAGATTCTGGAGCTTCCTAGCCAGTGTCTGGGATCCTTGTAACACTGGTACCATGAGAAGGACCCAGGCCTGACTTGAATTCTTGTTCTGACTTTTCCTAGCTGAGACTTGGGTGAGCCTCAGTTTCTCCATTTGCTAGGTGGAAGCAAATTTCAGCAGCCCCAGGGGTTATAGGATTGGAAACAGTTCTGGTTGTGTTGCAGGATAGTGCTTGGCCCACGGCTGGCACTCAGTAAGCACCGGCTGCCGATGAAAGTACTACCCTCTTATGGCTATTGTAGTGACTGCTTCCCGGCCTTGGCTCAAATGGTTTCCTTGTCTAAAATGCTATTTCCTCCCAGAGTTGCTGAAGGACTGCAGAGACAGACAGGAAATGTCCACAAAGCTTTTCTTCCCCTTCAGTCAAGCAGTCAGAGCCAGGTCTCTTCCCATGAAGGTAACTTGGCTGTGTGACCCATTTGAGCAGAAGGGTCTTAGGAATTGCTGTAGGTGAGGACACTGGAAGGGTACTCTTGTATTTGAACCTGCCCACCTTGAAGGCTGTACTGGGCCTGCCTTGCTGCGGGGAAGCCCATCCAGCCTCCTGGAAGCTGAAAGACACTTGGAGAGTGGAAGCCAGCACCAGCCACAGGACTGAATAGGCTATCTCTGGCCTCCTGGCTATCATATAAGCCTCTACCCCTCTGAACCCAGATGGAACTACAGAACGCCAGGCTACCAATCCACAGGAACATAAATAATCATAATTTTTAAGCCAGCCAATTTGGGATACTTTGTTACACAGTACTAGCTAGCTGATACACACACCCACTCACATGGTTGAGCTCTTGGCTGTTTTTTCCCAGTAAGCTCCCCCAACTCTTCCCACTTGGGGTCTATCTTTTTACCCTGCTTTTAGCATGCTTTGTAGTGGTAGCACTTAACAGTTTTTTGTTTTGCTTTGTTTTTGCCCAGTAAGGCAATCTGTGCAGGAATACTTGTCTGTCTGGCCTGAGAACTGTCCGAGAGCAGGGCTAGGTTTGTCTATATCCCCCTCCAGGTTCAGCATGGAGCTTGTGTTAGAGGGAGCCCAAATATTCTGGCTCACCCAGTCCAGATACCAGTCACAGCCATCCAGATCAATAAGAGAGAACTTTTTTTCTTAAGGTTGGGTTGGGCCACCAACCTGCCAAAGTCCTGTCCCATCAATTCCCATTTGTTCCTGAGTATCCAGACAGCTTTATAAATACTGAGGCTCACATGGCTGGCACACATGTGAGCATACACTGCTCTCCACCCAGCCCTGACCTGTGTGCACCCCTGTAATGAGGCCCCTCTTGGGTTCCCCAAGGAAGAAGTAGTGTCCTCCCTTCCCCCTCTTGCTTACCTTGCGGCCATGATAGCCCTGGATCCCTGGGTCTCCCTGGCAGGGGAAAAAAAAAAAAGAAAAGCCAAATGGTGTTCCCTGCCAGACCAGCTGGTGTTCTTTGCTACACAATACCACCTTCTGCCTCCCCATGACACCCCTGTTCTCTGGAGGTCCCCTAAACCCAGCTATTTCTGCAGGGACAGCTCTCGGTGCCAGCCAAGGTCCCCAGATACTGTTCTGATGGCTGAAGGGTGCAGGGAGGGAGCAGCTTGTTAGAGACCCAAGACATCCAGTTTGGGTTCTAGCAAACAGTACTGTCTGCGGCCAGTCCCCAGCTCTCTGCCTTCACATCTATAAAGTGGTGGCCACCACCAGTGCTTTATGTCCTTTGGTCCCCAGGGTTTCTGACTTCAAAGGGAGGGCGTCTTTGTCATCATGGGCTTCCAGGCAAAATTTCACAAGCGATCAGATCACTTTGGAGGTTTTTTTCCTGTATTTGACAGCTTTGAGACACTGTGACCGTGTCACGGCATCTGTCTGCCTTGTGTTGCCAGCTAGAACACAAACTCCGAGGCTAGCAAGACTGTGCTTTCTGCTTTCCTTGTTCTTTCTTAGATTTTTCCCCCCTAAAGACAGGGTCTCGTGTAGCCCAGGCTGGCCCTCTAGCTTGTTATGTAGTTACAAGTAACCTTGAACTTCTTCCTTCCTTGTTCCTCTTGCCTCCACTTTCTGGGTACAGGGTATAAGCCGTCACACTTTTTGAAGCGCTGGGGATTCAAACCCAGGGCCTCATGCATCCTAGGCAAACACTCAACCACTACATCTCCATATGTTGTACTTCCTATCCCAACAACCACAGAGCTTGCTCAGTCTGAATATCTAATGTAACCAAGAAAGAGGTTTCACTAGGACCAAAAACAGTTCATAAGAGGAGGTGATGTTTTTAAAATGGGCCACTTTTAATCCATCGCTCTGCTTCCGCCCCTCCGAGCTCCCCCGTCAGCTGACACCCCAGGAACACTCCCATCCCCACCCAGGGAAACACTTACCTTTGGTCCAGGAGGCCCAGGTAAACCCTGTGGAAGTACAAAGCAAGTGAGTGGAGTGAGGCTAGCCATGTTCACAGTGGAGGCTGGCTCAGAGAGCCCCCGGATAGCTCCGGGATGTCCTGGGGTGTAACTGAAACCTAGGGAGGGCACATGGGGACAACAGGCTAACATCTCTGATCAGAGCTATGTGGGTACTGTGGGCAACTCTGCTGTGCTCACTCACTGGAAAGTAGGTCAGTGGCCTAGGGCTGAACTGGCAACGTGGCTTTACCCACGTACCTCCTAATTGAAGACCCTTGCTGGAAAGCTGACCTTGCCCAGCAAGGCCCCGAACCCCTGAAAAAGAGCCTGCTGCCCCCCCTCCTTGGGGGTTACCACAGCAGCTGGCCATGGTAAGCTGGTGTGGGCACAGGGGCCTGTGGTTACCAAGGGAGAGGCCAGGGGTAGTTGGATCCTGTGGTCTTGGGCGGAGGTCTGGGCAATAAACATGGGCTGAAGAAAACCATGAAGCTTAGGTCTAGTCTGTTTTACTGGTGTAAAAGACACTGTGGGTCCATTCTTTTATAAACAGACTAAGAAGAAACAAACAAACATAGGAAAAGTCCGGCTAACTACCATCCAAAGAGTAAGAGCCCAGGACTGGGTCGGAGGGTAGTAGTTGGTACTTTGAAAGCTTGGTTTTGCTCGGTTTTCTACATTGATTTCCTTTCAGCTTTTCTACTTTCCCATCTCCCGACTGATAGAGGCAAGACCAACCATTTCCTTAGGAGGGAGAATACTATAACTAAGCCTCTGGGGGACTAAGTATAGCCAGTTCTGAGCACCACAGGCTGTCACTACAGTACAACCCTCCTGGCCAAATCAGAGATAATGGTGGGTAGAGGCATTGTCCAGTTCACAGAGACCCTTCATGATAGCTAGAGGTCAGAGCATCTGGGAACCTGGCCATGAACTTGAGAGATTGTCAGACACACTATTTCTACGCACAATGTTCTCTGTGCTGTTACAGCTTCAGAGGACATGGTCTTGACCAGAGTTTGCAAATGAGTGAGTTGGGGGTTGCTGTGTCACTGGAAGGGGGGTGTCTATGGCACCCGTCCCCAGCATGGCTGCCAATCCTCAGGTCCCAGGATGCAGGACCCCACTGACTGGGCAGCTTGCCTGGAAGGTGGCCCAGTAGCATGGATCCTGCATTTACCTTGATGGACACAGTCATCAGAGGCCACACCCCTCAAACCTTTCCGGAATCCACTGCCCTGACTCCTGTTTTCCTAAGCCAGGGTCAGGGACAGTTGCTAAAGTCCCTTGAGACTTCTTCCAGGTACTCTGTAGTGTGACATAAGGTGGTAACTTATTAGACTGTCCCCTGGAGGTCACAACTGACATATCCCTGCAGGTGTGCTGGTAGAGTTGGGAACGTGTACAATCAATACAGATTTATCAACAGGTGAGTAGAGTCTCAGGGATGGATAGCTTCTCGCATAGGCCACCCGTGTTCAGGCCCTTGAGAAAATGTGTCTGTCATTGGGTTGCTATTCAAGGTTTAGGGGGTTCTGGAGATTTCTAGGGAGCAAATCTTGAAGAAGAGAGGGAGGGATACTTACAGGTGGCCCTATAGGCCCTGGCAGTCCTGGGTGTCCCAGAGGGCCACTTGGTCCTGGGGGACCCGGTGGCCCTGGAGGGCCTTGGATGCCAGCTTGGCTTTGTTCCCCCTGAAGTTAGAGAAAACATGTGTTAGAGAGAAGATCTGGGAGCAGCGGTCACACTGCCCCCCTGTGCCATGCATCTCCTGAGGCTTCTGTGGAAGCCGCTCGGAAGGTGGTGGGGCGGTGATCGGCTGCTGCTGCTGCTGTGACAGTGACAGTGAATGCATGCAGGTGCTAATGGCAGCAGGAAGAGGATCAAGGCATGGAGTTACTGAGCTGTGGGGCTTCTAGGGCACATGGTCGCCAGAGCAGGAGCCTGGCAGCAGTGGCAGAGACAGTGAGTGAGAAACAACCCCTAGCCTGCACCCAAGCCCCGTTCCAAGCCTGGCCTGATGCCAGAGTTCAGCCCAAGTGGTCTGCACCCTGCCTCTATCTCTCTGTTAATGTAGCAAGTCCATCATCTGCCTCAGCCCCAGGCCTCCCAGAAGCACAGGGTCCCTGTTTCCTGTCTCGGCGTTTGCTGGTTTTGATCGTCTGTTCCAGGGGATCAAGTGAGACCCTAGGTCAGAGGCCACTGAGTTTCATCTGGCTCACTGCTCACTGGAGCAGGGCTCGTCAGCCAGCTCCTTGCGCTTTGGAAGTGGGTTCCAGCACCATCTGCTAAACACATCCGCTCTTACACAAGCTTCCCCTTTCTGCTGACCTGAGACCATCCTGCATAACGCATACAATCAATACAGATTTATCCATAGGAAGTGGGTAAGCCATCTCATGTCCCGGGATGGCTGGTGGTATAAAACCCTTACTCCCCAGAGAATCTGTAGCAGCCATGAGGTCAACACCTGCTGGTTCTGCTTTGGAAACCAGATCAGGGCAGTACAGAAAATTCTGGCATGACCATTTCTATATCCTGGACACAGATATAGCAACAGGGGGTGGCCAGATCTACTTCTGGACCCTCTAGGGCAGTGGTTCTCAACCTGTGGGTCGTGGTCCCTTTGGGGTCGAATGACTCTTTCACAAGGATTGCATGGCCCTTTCATAGGAGGTGCCTTAGACTATCTGCACATTAGCTATTTACATTACAATTCATAACAGTAGCAAAATTACATTCATGAAGTAGCAGTGAAAGTAATTTTATGGTTGGGGTCACCACCGCACGAGGAACTGTATTAATCAGAGCATTAGGAACGTTAAGAGCCACTGCTCCAGGGTCTTCCTCTACTAACTGGAAATGAAAACTAGGGCCCACAGGGAGCTGGCATACAGTTTATGTGATTAATCATGCATGGCTCTTGTATGTATGTATGTGTATGTGTATGTGTCTGTGTGTGTGTGTGTGCATGTGCGTGTGTGTGTAAGACAGACATCAGTCTTGGGTGTCCCTCCTCAGGGGCTGTTGTCATTTCTTTTGAGACAGGGTTTTTCTCTCTCTCTCTGGGACCTGGAGATCACTAGTTAGGCCAAAGTGGCTTGGTCAGAATGTCCCAGGGATTCTCCAGTCTTTCCTATCCTAAGGCTTCGATTACCAGCCTGTGCCTAGGGATCCAAACGTGGGTCTTCCTGCTTGACAGACAAGCAATTTACCAGCTGAGCTACCCCTAACAACCCATCAGGCAGAGTCCTCGGTAAATGTGCAACAAAGACTGGCCAGTGCACGCAGGGCTATACAGTAGCTGTGTCCGGAGTGTGGGGTGGGCGTGTTTAGAAGCACCACCTCAGTGTCCCTAAAAGCAGGGCAGGATGAGCAGCAGTCAGCGGGCCTGGCCAGCTAGCGGCCTCCTGAGCAGCCCTCGGAGTCCTCGGAGGCTCTCGAGGATTTGGTGGGTAATTCGATCCATAGCCCATGGGAATGGGCCGAATGCTTAATAGGCTGCACGTGGACCACGTGACTCTGTATTTTTAGCTGATGGTTGGTGTGAGTTTGCAGTCTTATCCAGTCAGGTACGTAAGCATCCATGCTCCAGAGCTATAGGGACTCAACAGGCAAGCAGCTCAAGACCCTGCCACTCCCTGCTCCCTGGGCCCTAGGGACACCTGAGCCAAAGAAGGCAAATGAAAAGTAAGACAGGCAGCCCCTGGCCTCATGTGACCTCAGACTGTAGGGACAAAGCTGCCCCTTGTCCCTGGAGACCTGCTCCTGGCTAACCCTCCTCGGAGGCAGCAAGGCAGGAAGATAGGAAAGCAGGCGTTGGCCTGTTGGGTGTGGGTCAAGGTGCTCTACAAACACCCTCCTTCCTCACACCCAGGTTCTGCGTGGTCAGTTAGGCTGTGTGTCTAAGGTCCCACCGAGAGTGTGAGCGTAGGCACCAGAGACCTGGTTCCTCTCGCTCTTCCTGTAACTTTGGGGGAATCGTTCTGCGAGCCTCAATTTTATCACAGTCACCGTGCCTGTTCTTATTTTCCAGAGCTGAGGGACACGGGGAACAGATAGAGAACTTAAGTGTAAATCCTTATTATTCTGTTTACAGGCTGTGACCTCAGGCAACGTACTGAACCTTTCTGAGCCTTTATTTCCACATCTGTGCAATAAAGTCGGTGGCACTTGACTCGCGACCCACTGAAAGACTTAAAGTCGGCCTGCAAAACGGATGTCGGAATGCCTGCAGTTGGTGCCCGTCAGGTGTCATGTTGTGATGGGGCCTGTGTGCTATGTATTCCCACATTTATGGCATCACCCAAGCGATGTCGCTCTAATTTACTGTAACCGTAAGAAGCAGCAGGTTCTAGCATAATGGGTAGCCCAGATGGCCTGTCAGGACCCCCAATTTGTGTCAAGCCCTGGGGAAGCCCCATATGGTATCTACCTGAAAGGTCCGCCTTTTAATGACTGGGGGTGGAGCCAGCCGCACTGAATTGAGGAGAGGCAACAGCTGAGGAGAGAGATGAGTTGGAAGGCCAGAAGGCAAAGGCCAGAGGTCACAGGTATTCAGAGCGATGCGGGAAGTCACCAAGAAGGCCAAGTGGAGAGAAGAGAAGAAGAGGAGGAGAGATCAGTGTAAACATGGCAGTAGGATAGACTGGGGGAAGGGCACCCCTGAGGTGCCCTCAAGTGACAGACACCACAATGCTGATCCTGCCTTTGGCTCTCTTATAAGCATCCTTCCTCAGCTCTGGATACTGGCTCTCAGCCCCTGTGTGTTCCAGAAGAGGGTCTCTCCCTGGCCAAGCCCACCTCTGAAACCATGCCAGGCTACTCGAGGCCGGGTGATATACCACCCAACACTGCACTGCCCCTCCCAGCCTGCTGGGTGGACAGCGGCTACTGGGCTGAGCATCTAGAGCCCACAGAATGAGCTAAATTGGTTCGTGGAGCCAGGCTGGCGTGTGGTCCCCTGTGGGTTCCTTTTTGGTGGGACAAAAAAAAAAAAAAAAGAGGCTGATGTCAGCGAATCTGAGGCCCATGGTCAAGGGAGGCTAAGCCTGGCTCCCGGGGCTGGGTTGGCTGAGGGTGCGGCTTGTGTAGCACACAGTAAGTGCTGCTGAGGCTTTGCTTGGGGACTGGCACACTCAGTAAAAGACGCCTTGGGAACGGCCAACCACTTCTAGGGGCACAGGCAGCTTTCAATCACATTACTTAACATCCTTCCCGGGTGATCTCTGCTGCTGCTTGTCTTCCTGCTTGGGTAGGCGGAACTTAGGAACATGACTTGACGGTTAAAACCCATATGAAGACAAAGACCTTGGGCTCAACCACCCGTGTTTAAGCCCCCCCCCCCCAGTTCACCGGAGGCTTGTGGGGCTGGATGTTAAGAACTACCATCCATCTCTGCTGAGAACACACTCAGCTTGGAAATTAGGAACCCATCTGGGGGTCCTCCTGAGGTTATTCCCGATCCATCCTCTACGGGCAGCTGCCACACACTGAGCCATGCAGAGCCCCATCCTCCCTCGCTGAGGCCCAGAGACGTGCACAGTGTTGAGCTCTGTGTCCAGGAAGCGTCTCAGCCAAGAGGGGCTGGAGCCCATGGAGAACCGACAAACCTTTAGGGGAATTATCGGGTTGGAGCGCAGGGCTGCAAGCGTGCCACTTGGGTACTCCTGGTTTGGGAGGCAGCAAAGATGGAGTCACAAGGACCAAGAGAAAGACCACAGACCCTCCTAGTAACCCTGCCTGATACCAGGGGCCTTCCCATTCATTGCCTAGCCCTTTCCTTTCCTGCTAGACAAGAGGTAGGGACTGACCAGTCTCTTTAGAGACCTGTCAACCCTTCTACCTACACCCCCCTCCCCACCTCTGCATACCTGCTAGGTTCCCCACTCAGTTTCTTCTAAGTCAACTTGCCTGCCAGTTGGGTATTTAGATCTTCTATCCCTACCTGAATGCAGTTCTCAGACTATGCTTCTGGAACCTTCTATCACTGTCTCCTCTGTTCTTGTGCAGGGTTGAGGGGCAGGAGCCCACTTTCCCCAACCTGAGCATTCCTACAGGCTGGATGGCACACTGCAGAAGTTCCAGCAGTTGTATTGTCTCTGAGCTAGGTGGGTGGGGGCAGGGATGGGGGGGATGCTGTATTTCTTTTGGATAATAAAACCATCTTGCGAGACTACCATTTCAAATAAACACAGCTGGCCTTCTGGTGCTGTATCGGGATCGGGCTGGTCTGAACAGCAGGGTCCTGCAGTCCCGAAGCACACCCCACTGACAAACCACTTCTGCCTGTGAGGCCTCTTATACACCAAGCACAGCCTCTCTCTGATCCAAGGACCCAGATGTCAGAGACTGGCATAGTTGTCTGTGTTCTGAGAGGCTGGGCAGAGGCTGGCCATACAGCTACAACTTCCAGAGACCCTGAGCCTGGTTTGTGTTGGGGGTAGGGGCGGAGTGAGGGGTCTGCGGTGGACTCCACCCCTAAGCTCTCCCTGCCCAATTGTAGTAGCAGCCAGGACAACAGATTGTATGTTTCTGGTACACTGAGGTCCCTATGGATGGAAGGTCACCTAAGATGCTCTTCTTCATACTTGCTGCCCAGGCTTGAGTGTGATACATGTGGTCAACAGGCTGTTTCACCGTGTCCCACTGAGGCTTCAGGGAGGAATCAGGGAAGGGCTCTGTCCCTCTCTGTCCCCAGCAAATGCTCTGGTGTCAGTACACAAGTGAACCTTGAGTTCCCTTTGCTTAGATGAAGCCAGGAAAAGTCAGGGTCAGGAGGGGTCGGGGAGGAGGCATCTCAGTCCAGAAACACCCTACCCCCACCATAATGTTCCTGCTGAGACAGGCTTCCTGTGTTCTTAACAGGGAAGATGCACACTGCCCCCAAAGGATGCCTGGCCAGATGATCTCCCCTCCTGGAGATGTGGGGCATCTGAAACCACGACTCAGAAGTCCCTCATATTGTTCAGAACTGCCCTGCCCCCCCAAGTACACACCACACACAGGGCAGAGGCAACACAGACCCAGGCACCCCTCCCAGCCAACAGAGGGCAAAGTGACACACACATTCAAGAGACTCTTGGGACACTTGTTCAGCAGACAAACAAGGCCATTACAAATGGACACAACGACCTCCAGACACAGTACTGAAACTAAGTCATGGTTTAGCTGTAGGGCAGAGCAGACAACGCCTTACACAGTGTTGCAGGTTCCTCCCCCAACTCCCTGACCCCCAACTCTCCCACCCTCCAACCCTGGTAGTGGCTGGGCTTCAGGATGGCCCACAGAGCACCCTTGGCTTGAAGCATCACTTACCCTGTGTGGGTACTCTCCACACTGACCCTAGGGAGGAGAGAGAAGGAGAGAGGTGTTAGGCGTTCGTTAGGGGCATCTGTACACCCATAGCAAACCATGCAGCTCCTCACTGGATGGCACCACTGATCTGCCCTGACCCTCTGAGGCAGATGAAGTGGTCCCCCTTCCCTTGTCTCTAGTAGGCAATAGGAGGAACTCCCTAGGGCCTGACCAGAGGAGGCTCCATGGGGTGCAGGGATAGGACCCCCTCCACATGCCCTCTGCCATGGTGGTAGGGCTAGGAATTATAGCCAGCCCCGTTGTCAGCCAAACCCCTGGGTTAGCACCCAGCAACTCTAGAGAGGATCCCTGATTTGGGGGTGAGGGGTCCAGAGACTCTATGATGGCTTGTGGCTAGCAGGGCTCTGGGAATACCTCCCTGTGCCGACAGTCCCAGGCTCCTGCCCCACTGCCCAGGGGTAAAGCTACCAGTCTCTATCAGAAAGTGAACAACAGCATATGGAGGAGGTTAGGAAAAGTCAGGCCAGTGAGGTCGTAAGTTCATGTCGTAGAGTGAAGGGCCCCAGCTGGATGGCAGGTGGAGAGGACCAAACTGGTCGAGGGTCTTCAGACTCAAGACTGATAGGTTGGGGAGGGGAGTGTCATTGTTTTTCTCTTACATACTGGTCACCTATGGGGTTTCTGTAAAACTCAGGTCTAGGGGCTGGAGAGATGGCTCAGCAGTTCAGAGCACTGGCTGCTCTTCCAGAGGTCCTGAGTTCAATTCCCAGCAATGACATTGTGCCTCACGACCATCTGTAATGGGATCTGATGCCCTCTTCTGGCACCCAGGCACCCATGTACACACAGAGAGCACTCATATACATAAACTAAATAAATACATCTTTTGGGAAAAAACCCAAAACCTCAGGTCTGCAAGTGCCTACCATGACCCCTTTCTGCTTGACAGAAGGCTTGGCCCGGGGTGCAGGTTGAGGAAGCCTCAATGGCACTTACCTTTTCTCCCTTTTGTCCCTGAGGTCCCTGCAAAGAGAAGGAAATGACTGTTAGGGCTCAATCCCAGGCCACACGGTCCCCGACCTCCCTGCTGGGGACAAGGAAGAGGAGCTACAAACCGGTTGTCCTCGAGGACCCACCAGGCCCTGTGGGAGAAAGACAACAGGTGTCAGTGGGCGGGTAGGTCACAGACACATGCCTGGTTGGGTTGGGGGTAGATCCGGGGCTTCTAGGAGCTTCTCAGACTGTCCCAAATCCCACAGGTTATGACGAACTATGTCAAACTCATCTAAGATGGAGTGACCTATGCCAAGTCTCAGTGGGTGTGGCCAATCGCCCTTTGTTCCCCTCACCTTTTCCTCCAGTCATTGACATCTCAAAGACCCCTCTTCGTGTGGGGTGTGGGTGTTGGGGTGTTTTTCTCTGAAGGACCTTAGATCCTTCACTTGGGTTACCAGGAGACCCCAGCACAGCCTCCTTCCTGGTCTCCTGGCTGCTGAGTCAGAAAGGCTTGGGGGCATGGGTAGGCTAGGCCAGTGCTGCAGACACACTGTGTGAGGTCTGTGGTACAGACAGGAAGCCGTGACAGACCCCCTAACCCATGTTTTGAGCTCCCTGGAGGTACCATGGGACCTGGCATTTCTGTCAAGGTTGTCCTATCCTTTGGTTCTACAGAAGAGTAGGGTTCAGTGACTGGTAAGCTTTCAGGAGACTGCACCAAAGCCCTGGTTAAGGAGGCCCATGTTGATATACAGGGACAGAAGCATGTGTGGGCTGGCCCCTCTAGGGTAGGCTCTGCAGACATTCGCTGGGCCAGAGGAGAAGGGGCTGGCATCACCTCTGCCTCCCAGTGCCAAGAGAACAGCAATGTTCACATATAGCTCAGGGTGAGGCCGTGGAAGGCTGGTCATTTCCAGTCTAACACACTGTAAATTCGAACCCTTGCCTGAGCTTCTGAGGTAGCTTTTAGGCCTATGCTGGCCTGGGGGGAACCACCTGAGTGCCAGTCTCTGGGCCCCTGGATATCTGTGTGCGTGACCTCTATAAGGTAAGATATAGAGAAGGGTCCTTCTCCTGCTTTCGACTCATAACTGGATCTACCTTGAAACTAGGACACTCTGATCAGGCTCACAGTGGCAGGGCTGGAGAGTCCTAGAACAGCTTAGGGGAAGCTACTTGGGGAAAATAAAAGGCCACCATCTCCTCGGACACCCCCCAACTCTCAACCTGGAGAGTGTTATATCATCATGTTGGAAAAGGCTTGCCTGATACCCTGGATGTCCCCTGTGCAGGAGAGACAAGGCTTGCCACGTCTCCCTGTATGGTGAGAGGATCTAGGGCCTGCTCTGTGACAGGATCTGTGACAGGCAGGCTCTATCCCTTTGTAGGAGTCAGACAAGGCTAGTCCCTTACCTATCGTGTGAAGGAAAGGAAGTAGGGGGGCTTACCGTCTCCCCTTTAGGTCCGGGGTGGCCCTGGAAGGAAAAGGGTTTAAGGTACATTATTTAAACACTGAGTCCCTCACCCTTCTGGTCCAACACGCTCCTCCCTAATCTTTGAGGTTAGCTTCTCTCCCCTCTCACGGGGTCACACGGTCATGGTCACTTCTCACTCAGAGCTGCAAGCTGGCTGAGCCAGGGGAGGGACCATTTCCCCTTTCACTTTCCCAGACACACTTGTAGTCACCTGCTCTTCAAAGGCGAGCAGAGGTGACAGTGTCTCCCTGGACTCCAGCTACATCCACTCCATATACCCAGGACAGCATGTGGGGGTGATACCTGACCTTCTGGTGAGAAGACATTACCACTGTAGCCTCTGGCCTACATGTGGCTTGCTGGGCAGGTGAGCAGGTGCCCACTTGAGATGGCACCCCCTATCTGAGGAAGAGCTGAGAGATGTACATTATATCTCCAGAGCCTGTACTTGTGGGGACTCCCAGAGTTTTGGAGAGGCAGCCATCTTCCAACTCCTATGAATGCTAGGGACCAGGACACCAGGCCCAAAGGGATATAGTGACCAGAGGGGGACCCAGGTATGCACGTGGAGCCCTGGCTGTGGAGAGGACCCCAACTTTGAGGAGAATAGGAGATACCTTGGTGCTTTGGTGGTCCTGGGACAGCCTGGTCCAGTCTACCTTGCTGCAGTTCCTGCTGCCTCCTTGTCCTTCCAGACCCCTGATCTCACGGAGCCACTCAGAGCTACCACAGTCTAAGGATGACTTTTGCTCTGGACACCGGGTACCCAGCTTGACCACAGTGATTGCCCACTTGGGGTTAGGGGTGACTTATTCAAATCGTTCCTCTTCCCTTCCCATTAGCAATGCCATCCTGGACAGTTTTCTTTCTATGGGAAAATATCCTTCGATAATCTGGGGTGTAGAAGGACCAGGAGCCCCAGGTGAGTGAGCTGGTCAGAGGTGGGACAGAGCCCATCCCAAGGGTCTACTTACCCCAAGAGTCTACTTACCGGCCTGCCATCAAGACCAATGGGACCCTGTAAATACAAAGGCTGGATGCAAAAACCAAGCTTCCTGGGACCCCTGCCCAGGAGGCAGTCTGGGCACAGAATCATCTGTCTATCTATCTATCTATCTATCTATCTATCTATCTATCTATCTATCTATCATCTATCTATCTATCTTTTTGTTGTTGTTGTTGGTTTTGCAAGACAGGGTTTCTCTGTGTAGCCCTGGCTGTCCTGGAATTCCCTCTGTAGATCAGGCTGGTCTCGAACTCAGAGCTTCACCCGCCTCTGCCTCCTAAGTGCTGGGATTAAAGGCGTGTGCCACCACCTCCTGGCCCCACAGTGTTTCTTGAAAGCTAATGTTGGTCAGCACTGAAGCAGCTGCTCCCCTAGTCCCACCCCTAAGAGTCTAAGGCTCCATTGTCAAGGGTAAAAGGATACTCTGGTTGCCACAGTGGCCACTGTACTACTGCTTCCATGATAGGCCTCTCTCTTTTCAGAGTCTGACAGTCAGAGGTCAGTCAGCTTACTTTCTAGGCCTATGTTTGTATCCTGGCATCAAATGAGATGTATCAGCTCCTTCACTCAGCTCCTGCCCGGCCACTACTATTATCTATATGGATGTCTCTATCCTTTCTTGTAGCAGGAGCCCAGCCCAGCCCTGAGCTACTGGCCCATGAAAGGTTATAGAGTTGGTCCTCAGTGGCTAGGAATCTGGAAATGTGGCCTCAGAGATTATCTTGGTGATACACTTTAACCCAACCGGGCTCGGGACCTACCTATCTCTGCTAACCTAAGCTCTCTTCACTTACCGGGAATCCTGGGAAGCCTCGGGTACCAGGCTGGCCCTGAAAAGAACAGAGCATAGAGGATGAGGGAGGAAGGGTGGGGTGGGGCCCATCCCATCCCTGATTCTCTGTTATCACCTGTGAGCTGGCTAGGACAGAGAGGACAGAAAGGGACCATGTAGCAGAGCTTCTGCAGGGAGCAGGCTGGAGAGAGGGATGCTAACAGCCTGCATCCTTTGAACCTACTTCTAGACATGACCTGGGATGCTCTCCGTGCTTGGGCATGCTGAGCCTTGACATGTAAATAGACAACAGACCCATCATGGGACTTGCCAGGACAATGAACGGTTTACTCTGAACTGCACAGAAGTCCTGGAACAAACTTGGGTCCATTTCTTTAATTACAGGCGTTTCTCATGGCCACCACTCTAAGGATGGCTTCAAAGTCTGCAGCACTAGACCTTCAACATGTATGTTTTCACACTAGAACGGGCCAGATTGCTCCTGTTCCTCAGGTTTCTCCCAGCAGCAGAGCATTCTCTGGATCCCCGTGTCTCTCTGAGAGGAGAGACATCCAGGTTCATTTCCTTAGACTGCAGAGTAGAGACAGTTGGAGACTAGAAGTGTATTTCCTGGTCACAGCCCAGGGGCTAACGATTAGATTCCCAAGCAACACCAAACTGTGGCTGCAGGTCTGTGAGGCTAACCGGAAGGTCAAGGGGAAAAGAGAGGAGAAGCCTAAAGCCCCATCACTCCTCTCTCCTCAGGATCCAGCAAGAGTTCCCCGACACTCATAACCATCCAAGGCTCCAGCAAGACAGCTCAGCAGGTAAAAACACTTGCCCCCAAGCTTGAGGACTTCAGTTTGATCCCTGGAACACACACACTAGGAGGAGAAAACTGACCTCTGCAAATTGTCATCTGACTTTCACACACACACACACACACACACACACACACACACACACACACCATGTAATACAAATTTGGTTTTTTTTTTTCTTCTAGACAGGGTCTCACTATATAACTGACTATCCTGGAACTCACTATGTAGACCAGGCTAGCCCCAGACTCACAGAAATCCATCTGCCTCAGCCTCCTAGGTGCTGAAATTAAAGGGGTATACAATTATACCTTCATAATTTTTTAACAAAGAGAAAGCCATCCTCTCCTGCGTCGCTGTGTAGACCTGGTTACCTCACTTCCTGTCTCCTCTATGCCTCTGCTGTCTGCTCGGGAATAGTGGCTCACCCGATTTTCCTGATAGACATGTCAGCTCTCAGCTTGAGATACCTTCAGTCTACACAACAGAGCCTCTTTGCAAGTATGGACTGTTGAGTCTGGCAGGCTGAGTTCTAATCCTGCCTTCATCAACAACTGTGTGACATTAAGCCACTGTCCAAACTCCCCACACCCACACCTCAGCTTCCACATCCCTAGAATGGGAATAACTATGTAATCTTATCAGGCTAGGGAACATGAGTGTAACATGTTCATGTGTGTGTGCCCATGTATATGCAGGTATGAACCTAGAGGCCAGAGGCCAGTGCCAAATGCTTACTCTACTGTTCTTGTAAGTTTTAAGAACAGAGTGTCTCTTTGCTGAACCCAGAGCTCACCGATTTGGCTGGGCTAACCAGTGAGTTCCGGGGATCTTCCTGTCTCCATCTCTGGTGCTGAGGTCAGAGACACGTGCCACAGGGCCTGGTTTTAAATGCTCGTGCTAGAGACCTGAACTCAGGGGCTCACTCTTTGCTTTCACTCTCTGAGTCATTTCCCCAGGGTGTCTTGGGATCCTTGGACATCTTAATTAAGGTCAGGAACAAGGTCCTGTTCAGGGGACAATTTCTCTTGACTCATGTGCTGTGACCCTGACATATTTCCAGGCTTGCTGGATCCTTTCTGGATCTGTGGATGGAAGTGTCCAGACACCTCGGCACAGAAACCATGTCACCCTTCTGGCCAGGTGGTATAGGAGGACCTTTTGCCATGTGAGGGTAGGGTGACGGTCCATAGGAAAACCAGCTAAAGTCAGCTGCAGGCTCAGGATGGACTTGTGGCAAGTGTCCAAAAGCAAAAGAGCGGAGACACCACTCATATGTCAGAGGGCTCTGGCCTCTCTCCTCTCAAGGATAAGTGGTGCTAAGAATAGGCCTAAGGAGAAACCCGGAAACCATTGCAATGTAATCTCTGAAACCTCCCAATGTAAACTTTCCTGTAACTGCTCTGGACACGGAGAGGCCCGGGGAAGAGGTCAGGAGAGAAGGGTTCCAAGAAGCATCTTCATAGCCATCTCAGCTGATATTTATGTGGCTAAGATAATCACATGGTCCACTAATTACAGTGCCTGCTCCGGTAAGCAGGGTGCATCCTTCCAAGCCAGGGCCAAGTCCGGGACTAACCAGGGCTTTTTCAAGACTGGAGGGATGGAGGTGGCGGGAGATGCTGTCATCGACCACAGGGAAATGGGATTCTGCTTCCTGGAGAGGTTGGGGAGAAGGCAGTTGCGGAGTCTTGCAACTGGACTGTAATTTACAACTCAATTTATGCTGAGCGTATAGCTTCTTCCAGTGCTCACTGGTCAAGCCGATTCCAGCTGCGGAACTGGCTGTTGGAGGCAACGTATTATTACGGTGTATATTTAATATGCTATCCTAGTATTATGTATTATTTATGTAACAGTGCATTATATAGAGAGTATAAACAGGCAAATATGTTTGAGACAGGATCTATGTTGTTCAGGCTGGCCCTGAACTGCTGAGTCCAAGTGGTCCTCCCTCCTCAGCCTCCGAGTAGCTGGGATGGCAGGCAATGTCTGGCTTTTCCTATTCTTCTCCATTAGGTTATCCTTTCTGATCCGGTCTGATTAATGCTGTCTGCTAAGAACAGCTCCTCGCAGAGGGCACCCAACTAGCTAAGGCTAACTCACCTTTTGTCTTTGAAGTATGTCACAGTATGTCTTTGAAGTATGTCATAGTATGTTTTCAGTCCCCTAGGATGGTCATGTTTATACAGAGAAACTTTCCCTGTGGCTTTTGGATTTTCTGCCGTGTTCAAAGAGGCCTTCTCACGGGGAGTGGTAAAACACTTGCTCATAGTATACTCCCAGTGTTTATGGCTTCACGTTTGACATCTTAGTCTTCTGTTGTTAGTCTTTCCTTTTGTTTTGGTTTAGTTTTTGGAGACAGGGTCTTATGTGACTCAAGTTGCCTGGAACCAATTATATAGCTGGGGACGGCCTTGAACTCCTGACCCTCCTGTCTCCATCTCCCAAGTGCACACTACCACTCCCAGATTACACCTAGTATCTTAGTCACTGACAATCTGTCTTGATAGAATGGATGGATAGATTCAGGATCAGGAAAAAATTGAGGGCAGGGGAAGTGGCTCAGTGGGTAAAGCCCTCACTGCTGCATGCAACTGATGGCCTGAATTTGATCCCTGGAACCCGTGTAAAGGTGGAAGGGGAGAGTGGTTCCACGAAGTTGTCCTCTGATCTCCATATGTGTGCATACATGCGCTCGTACACACACACACACACACACACACACACACACACACACACACACCATACATAGAATCAAACTTTCCATTTACTTTTTCCCACAGGCCTGTCCCGTTCCAGAACAATCCACCTTTCTCTTTCTATTATTTTCTCTTTGTTTATGTCTTTCCAGACAGAGTTTCTTTGTGTACCCCTGGCTATCCTCAAACTGGCTCTGTAGACTAGGCTGGCCTCAAATCCCTCAAACTCAGAGATCCAACTACCTCTGCCTCTTGAGTGCTGGGATTAAAGGCGTGCACTACTGCTGCCTGGTTTTCTTTCTACTCTTGGTTTTTGTTTGTCTTTTTTTTTTTCGTTTGTTTGTTTTGTTTTTTTGAGACAGGGTTTCTCTGTGTAGCCCGGGCTGTCCTGGAACTCACTCTGTACACCAGGCTGGCCTCGAACTCAGAAATCCACCTGCCTCTGCCTCCCAAGTGCTGGGATTAAAGGCGTGCGCCACCACCACCCGGTTTTTCTTTCTACTCTTAAATGAAGCTTTTCTCACAAACCATCTTCCCACCGGCGTCTGGCTTTGCTTCTGGTCCTTCTCTTCTGATCTAGCTGTTTGTCTCAGTTGCCCTGTTCTTTAGTCATGAACTTACTTCTTTCCTGAATGAACTTCAGCATTTGATGGAACAACCCGTAAGCGTTCACCAGGATGAGACACACATTACATTTATGGATAAAGGATCTCTATATGAAAAAGGAAAATAAACTTCATCCACCCATTTCTGAAATTCATCTTGCTCTAAGGCACGTCCCTCCCCTGGCAGCACCTGCTCCTCCTCTGGGGCAGAGCACTGCCATGCACTGTGTGACTCAGGAGTGTGGCGTGTCCAAGATGACTTCTCGCTTCTAAAATCTATTTTTATCATCACCAAAACTCACCCGTGGTCACCTCCAAATGGCGTGCATGCACACGAACACACACATGTACACAAGGCACACTTGCATACTTGCACACGCATGCACACCTGTGCATGCACACCTGTGCATGCACACATGTTTATGCATGTGCATGCATAAACACAATAATATCTATTTTGTGGCCCTGGGAATTTAAAGAGCACCCACCAGTCACTTCCCTTCAGTGTGCTCCTGGCTGAGCACAGGGAGCCGCCTCTCTCTAAGGTGCATTCTGTTACGTCCCTCATCGACTCAACACAACCCGAAGGCCTGCACGCCTAGGGATACAGTTCTGGATATCTTGTTGAGTCTATCACACAAAGCCCTCGATGCCTTTCCTGCCTCACCCTTGCTTTCCGGTCCAGTCCTTTCCAGGTGTTTCTCCCTATTAAGGAGCTTGGCACCCCTCCTGATCCTCCTTTCTTGGGTGGACTCTGACCTTGAAAGTAGGCCAGTTATCCCTTCTTCCTGCAGCCTCTCCGTCCGGACATGATCTGAGCCCAGTGGTTCCCTTCCCCCATGTCCCCACTACTTCTTGTCACAACACCCATTATCTGTACCGTCATGGCCAATGAGATTTGCCATCATGGGCCTGGAGGGCAGTCAGGCTTCTATTATTTCCCTTGTGCCTGGCAGGAGCTAGGTTCCTGACACACTCAGCAGGTGTAGCTACCTGAAGGGATGGAGTTCAGATTCCCTCCTATCAGTCTCTGAAGAGCAGCTCGGGGCGGGGCAGCTCGACATGCAGGTACCCTGAGCTTAGCCATGACCTGCCTAGTGCCCCTTGGAGTCCAGCCTTCCACTCTGCTTCATGGGGCTCCCATGAGGACACCTAGACACTGGGTCCCAACCCCTTGTGCCACTGGAATGGGAGTCATCCTTCTCTAAGTATCTGAACGGCCCCTGTTGCTTGGACTACTGATCAGGCTCCAGAAGACTGGGCAGGTGGCCCTTAAGGATGACAAGGCTGGCTCTGGTGAGCAATGTTTATTCTCAGCCAGGCTACACATTCCTGTGTGTCCGTCCGGCTGCCACGGAGGGCTTGTCTACTTGACCTCAGCTCTTACTGTCAAGAAGACCTTTTGTTTGTCTATCTCCCACCCCCACCAGGCTGGGGGCAGCAGGGGCAACTGAGGGGTAGCTTGGTGTCACTCAGTTGGGGTGGTTTGACCATATGGCTGACGATCAAGTGGCCAATGTCAGAGGACTCTGGGCATGGCCAGGACACCAAGTGTCATGAGTCATTGGAGACATCAACAAGGACCATTGTCTTCCCCCGAAGATGTATATATCCTTTATATACAGTGACACTTCAAGTTGAAAGGGGCTACTGGGACAAAATTTGCACTTATCACTCAGGAGCCTGGTAATCAAAACAGGCACGAGATTCCCAGGTTCCTCCGATGATGTGCTGGGGAGTTGGGGGAGGACACCTCCTGCCTGTGCTGGAGGCCTAGCATGTAATTAGTGCCTGTCACTGTGACCTCCTGGTCCTCTACTCCACCCATTCTCAACCTGTGGGTTGCAAACCCTTGGGGGGGTCACACATAGGTATCTTGCGTATCTTTACATTACGATTCATAACAGTTAGCAAAACTACACTTATGAAGTAGCAACAAAAATAATGTTATGGTTGGGGGGCGGGTCACCACAACATGAAGAACTGTATTACAGGGTCGCAGCCTTAGGAAGGTTGAGAGCCACCGATGTAGAAGATACCTCACTACACTTTCCCAGCATCCCCCTCTCTCACCGTGCTCCCTGTGACAGGTTCCTCATAATCCTCATCAGAACAAGAGAGGTCCATGGCCACACAAGAGCCTGTCCACACCCCTTCTCCTCTATGGAGAGCGACCATCTAGGCTATGCTGAATAATTCTAGCTCCCTCACTGACACTGTGTGAAGCCAGTGTGACCAGGTACCTTGGGACCCCACTCGTCCTCCTACGCATAGCTGTGCTATCTTGCTGGATCCATCACCCACAGCCCAGGCAGTCCCTAAGGAAGCAAGCCAGAGGGAAGTCAGGAGGTGCTAGGTAACTCAGAGGACCTGGTACTGACAGTGAGGATGGAGAGGGCGGGTTGGGGCTTCACCAGAGCCAGGAGTGGGTGCTGGAGTCAGTGAACCTGGACTTTGCTATCTGCTCCTGGTTTCGGGAGGCCAAGATTAGTTCCAAAGAAAAGCCGAGGTGCTTACTCAAGGCAGACGGCACTTTTCCCTCTTGTAAACAGCATCAACCACCTTCCCGCCTCCCAGCTGCTGGAGTTCTGTGGTTAAAGGCTAGGCTCTGGAGCCCTCCCCGGAGGCGGTAACTTAGGTCTATTTAGTCAGCCCACTTTCTTTAACATCAACAGCAATGCTGAGATCCAACAGGAATGACCACAGGACATGGGATGGCCACACCCAGAGGCCCCTGCCAAGGCTCACCCTTATTCCCCCAAAGCTCTTTTCATTAATTCTTCCAACCTCTATACACCCCCCCCCGCCCCATAACATCAGCAACTTACAGGGGGGCCTCGAGGCCCGATGATGGACATCCCCGCATCTCCAGGGGCACCCTGTGGGGAGACAGAGGGTGTGTGGGAGGGTAGATGGGGGAGGGTTGGTGGGGAAAGATGTAAAAGGGGGTGGGGGAACTGGCAGTCAGGAAGGAGGATGCCAACCCCCGTAGACCAAAGGGAGGCCAGAGATCAGTCAGAAATGGGGAGCACGAAGATGGTCATTGGAACGTCACAGGGGAGCTGAGAAGAGTAGCAGATGGGAAAGGACAGTGGGCTTTGGAAGTGCAAGAGAGCAGCATCCATGACATTGAGGAGCAAGGAAAGGCAGGCTCTGCAGTGACACTCCAGCTGGTTCACCTGGCGGCTCGCCTTACAAATGAATGACCAGGACATCCAATATCCTGGCTATATGGGCCCAGCAGCCTTGAGGCCAAAGGCTGATGATACTCTTGCATGTCCTAAGGAATGTTGCAAAAGGATGAAGGCTGAGCCCATCTGAGCCCATATAGCACGGCTTGGAGCTGGTTGGCTGGAAGCCCTGGGGGCTATGACAGGTGGCTGAGCCAGCTGGATAAATGAAGGGTGTGGATGCGTAGGAATCTGTAGCAGAGGCAGGCAGGCGGGGAATGAAAAAGCCCAGGGCCCTGAGTTAAAGTCATGGCAGCTTTCTGAGCTCACACAGCCTGCCCGAGAGCTGGAGCTTGGAATGTCTGCCGTCCTTCAAACTGTCCTACCTCAGATACAGGTTAGCAGTGATCTGGAACGAGTAACTGTAGCACCGTGAAGTAGACATGGCTTAAGGCAAAATGGATACTTTGAAGGGAAACCCTGCTTCTTAGCAGCTGCATGAGTTGGGACAAGCTTACTAAGTTCTTTGTCCATTCCCTGAACTCTGGCAGGGAAAACATTCCTAACATATGGAAATTTCACGGGATAAGACTAGAAAGTGTTTAAAAATCACTGTGTGGTCTGGGGAAGGTGATGTGTCTCACCCTATAGAATGGGACCAATATCCACCTGGAAGACCGCCCTGTCGTATTATCAGTAGCTTCAGCCTCGGAGTCGCAGCACACAGGGCTCTTCTCCAGGCTCTGCCACCTTCTACCTATGTAGCCATGTGCATGTGACTTCTCTTCTCTGGGCCTAATGCTCAGAGGAACAGTAAAGCTTCCAGAAAAGGCTGTCAGCATTACCTGAGCCGGCAGAAAAGAATGTTCACAGCCTGTCCACCGCCACCAGGGAGCAGCCACTACTGTTAGCATTTACTCCTTTAAAGACGGGATAATCAGTTGCAGTATCTGTGCAGTAACTGTGCCGTGTTTGTGTGTGTGTGTTGAGGGGGGGTTTCCTGTCTACAATTCCAGCTCTCAGCACGTAGAGGCGGGAAGATCTTTGTTAATTTAATGTCACTTTGGGCTACACAATGACTTCTAGGCTAGCCTAGGTTACAAACCAAAACCCTTTCCCATTTTTTTTAAAGGCAGAACAAAAAAAAAAATACACAATAGTGACAATATTGACATGCCCAGTGTCTTTGAGGAGGGAAGAAAAGCTGAGGACCAGGAACTTGCTCATGTTACTGGTGGGGACTCCAGACAAACCTTTTACTTTCTCTTCTGATTGGATATGCCCTGAAGTCTCCAGAACCCACCAGGCTGCTCTTTCAGGATGTCTCCTCCCCTGTCCCCCCTCCACAACCTGGCTTCTGGCTTCCCAGACAGGGCAGAGGGACCTCTCTGTGACTCTGGGGTTCCCCTAGATAGTCCCAACTACACAGCAGTGATAAGTCAGTTTCTTTTTCATGGGGGTGGGTAACAGCCCACAACTAGGAATCAGAGCAATGGGGCCCTTTGCATGTGGTTAAGGTAAGGTAGGACAGACTTACTGAGCTGGGACAGCTGAGGCCTTGCCTAGGAATCCCAGGGCTCCATCCCAGGGCTCGGAGAATGTTAGCTTAAAAGCCTCCCAGAGAGAGAGAAGGCTGGGTTAAAAGTGGAGTGGGCAGTGAAGACTCACCTTCTCGCCTGGTTGACCTTTGACACCCTGGGCAGGCAGCCCCGTGAAACACAGGGCACAGGGAAAGGAGAGACGGGGAGAGAAAAAAAGAGGGTAAGAGACAGACACAGACACAAGGATCCCTGGTAATGGCACAGCCACTGAACAAAAGAAATCACTGTGAAATAAGAAACACAGCACAAGACCCAGATGCAGACACGCGACAGCCATCTCAGCCAGCAAGCACGGCCAGCTGTTCTACATCATTAGGAGAGAAACAAGGGACCCTGTCCAAGTGGTGCGTGTGCGAGGGGAGGGAAAGGGGAAAGGAAGGAAGGGAGGGAGAGAAGGAGGGAGGGAAGGAGGGAAGGAGGAGGAAGAGAGGGAGGGAAGAAGAGAAGGAGGGAGAGAGATTCCTAACCCAGTCAGAAAATCTTCCTGAGTAGCCAAATCCAAAGGGCCATGGGTGAGGTTGGGAACAAGTCCCCGAGGTCTGTGATCATGAACCCCAGGAGCTCTGAAGGTTCCCCTAAGTCCCAAGTACAGAGAGACTTTTGGTATGAGACTGGAACCATTAGAGGTACCCATTCCTGGTAGAGAGAACGCTTGAGGTATTGGGGGGGCAGATTGGGGGGACAGGACACAGGATGACACGGGACAACCAGAAAGAGGTTACTGGGCTTGGGTGGCTCAGGCATGTAATCCCATCGGCTTGCGAGGCTGAAGCAGGAAGGATACAAGTTCAAGGCCTGTCTGAACTAGAGGCTGAGTTCAAGGCCAGCTAGGGACAACTCAGTGAGATCCTGTCTCAAAGCTAAAGTCTAAAGAGGGCTGAGGATCAAAGTCAGGGGTAGGATGCTTGCCTCCTATGCTCAAACTCTTACACTGAGTCACCAGCACTATAAAAACCACTACGGTGGCCAGCAGTAGGCAGCCTCACTCTATGCAGCTCCCAACAGGCCAGTGGCGCCACCTCTGGTGACGTATGGGAATGACTCAGGAATTTCACACCTGGTCATTGGACGCTACAGTCCTTATCAAGTGGCTTAGGCCAGGCCCCCTAGTGAGCAGCCAAATGGGCCATCCTACATTTAAAATAGCACCAAGAGTGAGAAGTTCCAAAGTGGCTGGAAAGGAGCTAGGCACAGGAGGTTGGAGGCTTCCGGTGGCCGGCCTACCTATCCCGGTTGCCACCACACAGGAAGCTCTGATGGGGGAGGGCAGGAAGGAGGAGCTGGAAGTACATTTTGCACTCAGCAGAACTTCCTGCAGGCCAGCTGCTGCACTCAGCAGGGAAAAAGCTCCTACCAGTCACCTAACGGGAGCAAGGTCGGTAGGCCAGTTGGCTTGGGTACAAAATCAACTCCACCCTCTTCCTGGGTAGATTTTGCCCATTAAACGGGATCATTAAGTCAATAGCAGAGACTTCGATGCATTCAAAATGATCGCTCCAGGATGGATGGTAGGGTAACATTGCAGTCTCTGGGTGGAACACAGTGACAGCATATACAGACCCGGGGTCTAATGGGTAGGCTGATGGAGCGGATACGGGAAGCAGAGTGCCCAGTGTCCTCATGTGGAGTCAGTGTGAAGACTGTGGAGGGGATCAGGACTCCCACACTCTGGTAGGTCTTCCAATGCTGAAGACGGGCACACTGCTGGCTGTATGCACTGACTAGTTCCCCACTCTCCCTGGGTACCAAGCCTTGCTGAGTGTGTGTATGGAGGGAGCAGGGGTCAAGAGCTTTGAGGTTGCCGAGGTCCCTGTGAGACACCACTGAGAGAAAGCCTATGCCAAGAGTCTGGTAAATGTTGGGCAAAATGACATCGACTAATGTGAAACATGCCACCGCCACCCCCCAGCACCACACAGGTGGCCTCACAACTCATAGGTTCCATGGAGCTCTTGGACCAAACCCTAGAATGTTCTAGGCTTCTGAGGCATCCGTTTAAGGTTAGCTCCTCCTTTCAGCTCTGATGCTAGGGGTGGATTTCCGGGGTCAAGGATGGATACAAGTTTGCAGCCTGGTTTCCCGTGCTCAAGTGCTCACTCATTTCCTAGTGGGTAACCTTGAGAAAGACATTTACCTTCCCAGTCTTGGCTTTCTCACCTGGAGGGCTTGGTGGGGGGAGGGAATGGAGACTGTGCCCAGGCCGGTCACTGGAGGATGAGCCAGTATGCGAAGGCCCTTGGGTTCACTGCCCAGCAGGATGTCAGCACTAGCTAGTGTTGCCTAAGCTTTACATACCCCAACTTCGTGCTTGCTCCAGCCATGCAAGGTTATACACAGATGTCACAGTCACGCTTAAGGCCAATGCCAGCACAGCGGCGAGGGTCAGGCAAAGCTAGCCAAGATGGTGGTGGGATCATGCTGGAAGTGGGTCGTTAGCAGTAATGCTGGGAGGGCAGCCCTACCTCCATGTCCATCCTAATTAAGGATGCTCTTAACTCCCTCAGCCTTCTGTCTGGCTAGACCAGCGGTTCTCAACCTCCCTAACGCTTTGAACTGTTACACAGTTCACGCTGTGGTAATCCCACATCATCACTTTCATGGCTACTTCATAACTATAATTTTGCTACTGCTATAAATTGTGATGCAGATATCTGATATGCAGAGTCTTAACTGACCCCGGAAAAGGTTGTTCAACCCTTGAGGGGATCACGACCCACAGGTTGAGAACCACTGGTCCAAACCCTGGCACCCTTAAACCTGAGGCTAATGGGACGACCCAGGTGCCAGGGACTCAGTGCCTAGAGCTAGCCTTCACATAGCCTCTGAACAAGCACTCTCATCTCTTTTTTCACAAAAGGAAATATTAACTGCATTCACCCTTCTGAAGACCTGGAAGAACTGCCTGGAACCAAGCCTTGCCTTCACTACCTCTACTGTAGTGTCCTTCCATAGAGGACAGCCACAGGAGATAGTGGCTGCTCTGGGGATGGTTGCTGAAGCAGCCGATGCCTTGGGATACTCAGGCCTCACTCCATCCCCCTGTACATCCAGTGACTTTCTACAGAGTACTTAGTTCCTGTGTCTCCAAGAAGAACACACTCCAAGCCCCCAGTAGGTGCCAGTAACACTGGTTTGTATGGGGCCCTGTGTGTACCACATGTCTTTCCTATCTGTGGGTACCTATGACAAACTTGAGTTTAAGATGTGGTTGGTCTCTTTTGAAATATCTGACCACAGTAACTGAATCTGTGTGTGCAGATGAACTGCAAGACGCTGTTGTGTGCAGATGAACTGCAAGACGCTGTTGTGTTCAGTCTGGAGACTGGAATAAAATATCTTCCCTTCCCCTTCCTTGGCTCTCCTGAAGTAGCTCTATGCAGCATTTCACCATGCATGTAGGACAAGCCAGCTTGGAGAAGCAAGTGATGGCACCCCAAGCAGGGACACATGAGGCAACTCACCACGCGTCCAGGCATCCCGATGGCACCTTTGTCCCCCTGATGAAGGAGGGGGAAACAGTCAGTGTGGCTGCCACCTGCAGAGTGTTCCACCAACTTGTGGATACCTAACTTGAGGACATGGCTAGGCTTTTTTTTCTTTCTTTCTTCCCTTTTTTTTTTTTTTTTTTTTTTTGGTTTTTCAAGACAGGGTTTCTCTGTGTAGCCCGGGCTATCCTGGAACTCACTCTGTAGACCAGGCTGGCCTTGAACTCAGAAATCCGCCTGCCTAGCTATCTTTGTTGGAGCAGGTAGGATAACATTTAGAGTGGCACCAAGTGTCCCGTGGATGTCACCGATGGACCTGCCAGGAGACATCACTAACTAGGGCTAGCCAGGACCTCAATGCCCAGTCAGACTTTCATCTTTCACCTATGGTTTTCTGCACTCAAGCATGATGCTGTGGGGAAAGGGTTGCAGTAGGTGGAGGCTGTCATTCTGGACCTCAATGTCCTACATTGTCTCCAAGGCCCTTTCTCCCTTAGGCTTGTGTTGTTCAGCCCATCAGTGATAGCCAGGATGGACCTAGGAGTCATTATCCTTGCTTTAAGACGAAGAGCAAGACAGAAGGGCAAATAACTGCCCGAAGTCTGTCTGCCAGAGCCAGGGAAGTAATGCTCATGCTCCCCGGCTCCTCCCTCTCCTGCTCTGGTGTCCCACCCTGCCCCCTCTCCCCTCAGGCTGCTCCAGTATGTGGATTTGGATACTTTGTTTTGTAGCCAGGGTTACATCCTCTAGCTCTGGAAATCTGCTTACAAAGTTTCACTCGTTCCGCATTCAGTAGAAAATATTTTTTTGTAATCATAGACATGCAGACATCATAAAAATCTGGGGTGGAGCCTCAATGGACGGGAAACAACAGGGTGTAGAAGGTAAGGTGATGCCTGACTGCACTGAAATCCCCCTGGGGTGGGTGGGGGGAGTCCTGGGGATGACTCTGGATCTGCTGATCCTGAAGAGGCCAAAAGCATCAAGGAACAAATGGTGTCCCAAGACATATGTGGGATGCACAAGAAACGCTGTCAGTTTCTGTTAGGCTTACATTGTCAAGATCCAGGGCATCTTTGAGCAGAGCACTGTGCCTTTGCTAAGAATGGCGCAGTGCTGGTTGTAAGCACCGAGTGCTTCCCTGTCCTCCCTGAGCACCAGCCTACTGAACGGTAGATGCAGGGAGAGAGCTTTGAGGTTTCAAGTTCCCCATGGGATGCTTCCATTTCACGCCAAGAACCTGGCATTTGATAAACGTTGAGCAAAATGGTGTTGACTAGATCTGGGACCCACAGCACCTTGGTTCTATGTACATGTTTACACTTCTCGTCCTTTATATCCTAACAAAGGGCCAGCCAACACTCATGCACCTGCTGGTGGGTCACCTCACAACCCTTCACGTGGAAGCTCGGACCCTCAGAGAGTGGATCTGCCCCTCCCATCAAGGGTGTGCCAGGCCCATGCCTGTTGTCAGCCCTGGCTCCAACGACCTCACTGTCCACTCATGCTTGAGTCTCTGAATGATATTCCAGGGTGTGTGTGTGTGTGTGTGTGTGTGTGTGTGTTGGATTAGTTTTCCTTTCATTTGGAAAGTAATGTTCTTTGCAGCCCTGGCCATAAAATGCTCAGGTTAGGGACAAGCATGAAGAGCCAGCAGCTGGAAACTCAGCAGCATCCCCCACTCTGTGAATTGCCCCCTAAATGCCTTTTAAAGGTGGAGGCTATAAGAAAAAAAAAAAAAACACAAAAACCTGCCCACATTCTTCTCGGTCATCTGACTATGCCCCTGCTTAGATTTCACGGACCAAGTCACCGTCCTCCTGGGCTGCAGCACTGGGAAAATCTCTGCTTTCGGGGCTGAGCCTTCTTGCATGTGTATTTTACTAAAAAAGTCACTGGCCATTGATTTGAAAAGCTGTTGGACTGCTCAAAAGTTAAAGTATAATGCATACCCAGAAGGTTCTAGAGTCCAGTGGAAAGTGGCCTTTAGCCAAGAGAGGACAGGTATCAACAGGTGTCCCCTGAAAACCTCCCCCACCAGCAACTCCTGCATCCTTTCCACACCCTACCTAGATGTCTCCTCTGTGCCTTACCTCAGAACCCCATCTGTGACCTTAACCCCCTGGTTGGCTGTAACATCTTGCCTGAGCCATGGCCTCCTGTTCCAAAGCCCACAGGATTATAATCAATCTTCATCTCATTTATTGAAGCTGGACCCCACAGAACAATGTCTTAGAAGACTTTAAAGATGACACTCAAATAAATGCCAGGCATGGGCCACAGAAACTGTTGTGCTCAGTGGTGTACAATAGAGTCACCACTAAAACTCAGACAGGTAGGACAATGCATTTTACCCTTCTGAGGCTGAGCCCTTTTTACCCCCATCACTAAAATGAAGCTGAGAATACCCTCGTCTCTAAGCAATTACTATTTTTCTCTGAGTTATTGAGAAATCAAGGCTGGGGATACCTGGAATGCCTGACACCTGTTAAAGCGTCAGGCGGCTAGTCATCAGGTGACTAGATGGCTAGTTACATGACTTCTACCCACTTTGGCCCAAAGTCCCTGTGGTTACTGGGGAGAAACAAAGGTTTTTGAATCCACCATTCCCTAGAAGGCACAGGAAGACTAGAAAAGGTAGTTTGAATGTCATCTGCCATGAAGAAGGCTGGGAATGACCCAAGGACTGGCCAGTTCTCCAGCCCTCCATTACAGAACTATCGATCAGAACAATTTGCTCCAGCCCTCCATTACAGAACCATCGATCGGAACAACAGCTCCTATGCTGGGAGGATCTCCTGCTGAGTCTGCATGCACAATACCCTAGGAGAGATGCCAAGAGCTACAGCCACAGACCCCAGATACTCCCCAGTGTTCTACCGTGGAGCGCTGGGAGTGATTTCACCCTCAACCACGGACTGGAGACTCCCTAGAAAGGTCACGCTCGGAGAACTGTGAGAACTGACCACCCAATCTAGACAGTCAACGGACTGAGAAAGAGTAGGTAATGGGGACTGGGGTGTGGTCAGCGGGAGGGCACTTGAAATGCCCCTGGGTCCTGGGCTCAGCGCCCTCTAAAAGGGGAGCAGAGAGAGAAGAAATGAGTTACTTACTGGGAGTCCAGGTCTTCCAGTGGGACCCTGAAAGAGACAGAATAGTTAACCCAGGTCAGAGTTATAACAGTTAATGGGGTAACATTCCCCTGTTAGCTGTGACCTCAGGGAATTCTCCTGCACTGTAGGAGCTTGTTATTTTAATAACTAAACAGGGATGGGGGCTTCCTTTTGGTCAGCCATCTATCCATAAAACCAGGGAAGGAGGATCTCCTATATGCCAGGCCCAGGAATAGGAACAGGAGACAGAAAGCTGATATGTCTGTCCCCTCCCATGACTCAAGGGTCACTAGAGCTTGGGGTCTCATCAGTGCAGCTCCCTCCCCCACTCCACTCCATCTCTGAGCCCTTCAGCTGCTGAGTACCACTTCTGCCTGCTGGACCTGACTGGGAAAGGGCAGGGATGAGAGACAGCGAGACCCTGTGTTACCTGTTCCATTACAGAAGAGAAGCCAGGCAGGGCAGAGCCTGCCATCGGCTCTGATGCCCCTGGTGCATAGACCCCATCTATACTGATGGCATGGGAGCACAGAAGGGGAAAACCCACAGAGGATTATGAGGGAGACAGTAGGAATTGCTTTGGTGCATGAGAACATGTAAGATCACCCAGTCTGCGATGAGTCACAGCACTGGGGTGGGTGTGGAGGCTGCCTTGCCTTCCTGCTTCCTAGAACCTAACAGATGAATGTCTCCAAGAACACCAGCTAGGCATGCGTCAGCCTGGAGTCATCCTGGCACTTGGGAGGCTGAGGCATGAGGAAAATGAAGTCTAGGCTAACAGGGGCTGCAGAGTAAGAGTGTCTCAAAATAAGTAAATGCATAAATAAATAGAAAGTATCCAATGACTGTTCTATCAATTATGTTTTCCGTCATAGCAATACATCCTGGAAACCCCTTAGGAACCTGAAAAATCCTGAGAGGGTGTCTTTCTAGATCGGGACACTGACTTCCGATGGGTCTGACCTGAGAGGGATGCTTAGCTTCTACACTGACAGGTGCCAAGAGGGGAGAGAGACACTTTTGGGGTACTCTTAGGAGCTGAGCCTGCATGGATCAGTCAAACTAATATTGTAAAAAGGGTCATCCTACCAAAAGCAATCTATAGATTTAATGCAATCCCTATCAGAATATCAATATAATACAGACACTGCAAAAAAAAAAAAAACCATTTACTTCATACGGAAACAGATATGTGCATGCAAGCATGCATGTGTGTGTCCACACATGCACACATACCACCACTACCACCACCAAAAATCCAGGATAGCTAAAAGAATCCCCCCAAAACACACACCCCCATCGTCACCACCACCACCAGCGAAACCCAGGATAGCTAAGACAATTCCAAATGCTAAAAGAACTGCTGGAGGGATCACCATCATAGATTTCAAACTATATTACAGAGCTATAGAAATAAAACCAGTATGGTACTGGCATAAAAACAGACATGTCGACAATGGAATTGAGGTGATCAATGGAATTGAACTGAATATCCAGACACAATTTCACACACCTATGGACACCTGATTTTTCACAAAAATCTCAGAAATACACATGGAAAAAGATGGTATCCTCAACAAATGGTGCTGGTCAAACTGGATATGTGCATATAGAAGAATGCAGATAGATCCACACCTATCACCCCGCACAAAACTCAGCTCCAAATGCATCTAGGACCTTAACACATGACCAGACACCCTGGGTCTGATAGAAGAACAAGGCCAACAGTTAATGAATAGGACCTAATAAGGTGGATAAATTTTTATATGGCAAAGGGCACCGTCAGTCGAGCAAAGCGGCAGCCTAGAGTAGGGAAAGGGCTTTTACCAACTGTACACCTGATAGAGGGCTAGTATCTAAAATATATAGAGAACTAAAAACAAACAAAACAACCTCAACAGCAGGAAACAACCCAATTTTTAAAAAATTATCTCAAGGGCTAGAGAAATGGCTCAGCGATTAAGAGCACTGGCTGCTCTTCCAGAGGGCCTGAGTTCAAGTCCCAGCAACCACATGGTGGCTCACAACCATTTGTAATGGGATCTGATGCCCTCTTCTGGTGTGTCTGAAGACAGTGACAGTGTACTCACATACATTAAATAAATGAATAAATAAATACATAAACCTTTAAAGAAAGATCTCAAAAGATGAAACACAAATGTCTAAGAAACAAAGAAATGTTAGATACCCTTAGTCATCAGGGAAATGCAAATTAAAATTACTTTGAGATTTCATTTATCCCAGTAAAAATGGCCAAGATCTATAAAACAAATGGCAGCTCATGCTGGGGAGGATGTGGGGTAAAGGGCACACCCACCCATTCATTGTGGGTAGGAGTACAGACTTGTACAGTCACTATGGAGATCAATGTGGCAGTTCCTGGGGAATATGGGAGTTGATCTACTCTGATCCAGCTAGACCAAAATGTCTGAATTATATAGGGAAGAGCCTGTGGGGGAAAGGGCAGCTGAGTCCTTGGGTTGGAAAGTTTAGGGTTGGGGGCAGGGTATGCTCAGTAGGGACTGAGGGATGCTGGGAGAATCTGGAGGCCAGGCCTGCTTTGGTATATAAAATATGCACCTAGGTCCCTTGTCTAGGGGTCAGAAACCAAACACAGTATGTAGAAGCTTCTTAAAATATAAACATACATGAAAGGAATCTAATGGAATCACCAAAAGGGAGAGAATCCTTCCATTAGACATCTTATGCCACCGAATAAAACCTCCAGTACCAGGAATAAGTTATACATTATTGAGTTGTTGCCCAGAGGGGCCCCATAGATGCAACACCTCAGGCTATCACCAAGGCTCAGTTGTTCTTCCCAACCTGACGGTAAGAATTGGTTGCTGAAGACAACGCTTACTTATACACTTATACCGTTAAAAACAGAGAAGTCAAGCTAGTTCCTAACTAGAATCTTCACCCTACTGACTAGCGTTCACAGTACTGGAAGGCATTCTGCACATTACCAGAGGAGAAAGATAAACACCAACCCAGCTAGAAACCCTGACACCCACAACACCCTGCCCACAAGGTATACTTGAGCAACAGTGGTATAAATCCTATAGGAGTAACCAACCTTTTGTTTTGTTTTGTTTTGTTTTACTGGATTTAAGATCCACTCCACAAGATGGGACACCTGACCTGAGAGTAGATAGGTCATGGGCCTGAGACAAAACCCTACTACTGTTATTCTGATAAAGGAATACACCAATAAAAGATCATACAGCTATAGCCATAGATCAGCTCAAACCACGTCAGAGAAGCTTCCTCTTGCAGGAGTACCCTCAACTGGACAACATACATAAATGGAGAGACTCTGGAACATCCATCAAACCCTTCCCCTCAAGGCTTGGTAATCTATACACAAGAGGAGGCAGAAAGACTCTTAAGAGCCAGGGGTAATGGCTGACTCCAAGGAAGCAGTGTCTCTTAGACAAAACAGAACCAATGTATATGAACTCTCAGAGACTGTGGCAACATTCACATGCACAGGCTCAAGCCAGATGAGATGGGGTCCCAGAACTGGGAAGGGAAGTAGACACCATGGGGTCCCACCCTAACCAAGAAGCTGTCTGCAACTGACACCCAATTGTAGTGGGTTGGCTCAATGATGCTTGTGTTCTAATGCTAATTTGGATCCTTCAAAACTGTCTGCAGGAGAGTCTGAAGACTGATGAGGCCCACAGTTAATTGTGATTGGTAAATAAAGATGCCGGCAGCCAATAGCTGGGCAGAAGAGACATAGGTGGAGCTTAGGTTTCTCGGGCTTGGAGAGAGAGGAGGGCGAGGAGAGCCCGGAAGAGGAAGAAGCCACCGTGGGAGAACTTGCAGGAGGGAGATGGAGAGCTGCCATTGGCTAAAGGCCCAGAGAACGTGGCCCAAAGAGCTGCCCAATTGGAGTTAAGAGCAGCCCAGATGGAAGATAGTAAATAAAAAGTGATGACTTGGGATTGTTCATAGCAAAGTGGATTCTAACAGCATGGAGGGTAGGCAGCTGCCCAGCTACTGTGCTGTCTAAGGCATATTAGAATATAAAGGCCTAAGGCTTATTGACATATTAAGGCTGCGTGTGTGTGTGTGTGTGTGTGTGTGTGTGCATGCATGCGTGCACGTGCACGCTCATGCCTTTCATCTGGAAACATAAATGGTCTACGGCAGGGAAGAAGCCCTATGCCAGGATTTTAAATATTTACTACACCCAGTGGCAAAGGGAAAATCAGATTTTCTCCATTGGAGCATCACTGGTTGTACCTAGCACACTTCAGCACAGGCCTCGTGCCCTGGAGTAGTTGGCCCACACAAAACAAACTCAGTGGCGTTGTTTGTGGCTCTTTTGTTTCGTCTTGCTTTTTTTCTGGCATCTCTCTTTTGTCTTGTGGGTCTTCTGCTTGTTTGACTTTCATTTTTGTGGGTTTTTTGTATGTGTTTCTTGCTTGTTTTTATTTTTGTTTCTTGTTTGTTTTTGAGAGCGAGAGAGAAAAGAACATAGAGTTGGGTGGGGAGATGGTGGTGGTGGGGTGGATCTGGGAGGAATTCTGGGAAACAGGATTAAGATAAAGTGTGTGAAAACAGTTTTTTAAGTTACAAGCAAGAGAGCTGAGCCTGAGCCATGGTACACGGGGAGGTGTTTCAGCAGCAGAGATGGAACCTTCTGGATGAGGAGCAAGCACTGTGTAGCCAGCTTATCTGTGCACAATCTTGGCTCTGCACTTCGTGAGTAGTGAGGGTGACCTTAAGTAAGAGGCCTGGTGCCCTTGTGCCTCTGTTTCCTCAGCTTGAAAATGGGAGAGCAGGAACCGAGTAACACCTGTCTTTTATAACGAAATTAGTGTATCACAAGCACCGAGCTTAGGGACCCAGATACAGCAAGTGCTAAGCACACGCTGGTATGAGCCATTTTTAGAAGGGAACAAGCTGGGGGCGGGGGATGGGGGTGGGGGTGAGAGAGCACAGGACCAGGACGAGCCATGCTTCACCGAGCGGCCAATGCTTGTCTAACTGTAGACTGAGTTTTGCATTTTTCGCTCCTACCAACAGGGGGCGCGAGTCTGGTTTTTCTACCTCCTCTGTTCTATTCCTCACTCCTATATCCATACCTAGTTTGCGCTAGTTTGCTTTCTGTTGCTGTAGTGAACGTGTGACCAAGTGGAGAGGGTTTATTTGGCTTACACATCGAGATCTCAGTCCATCATGAAGTCAGGGCAGGAACTCAAGGCAGGAACTGAGACAGAGACCGCAGGAGGACACTGTTGACTGGCTTGCTTCCCATGGCTTGCTCTGTTTGTTTCCTTAATATAACCCAGGACCACCTGTCCGCGGGTAGCACCGCCCACAGTGGGCTGGGTTCTCTCCCCGGCCAATCACTAACCAAGGCAATAACCTGCCTACAGGTCAAGCTGATGGAGGTATTTTTTTTCTTCAACAGAGGAGCCTCTTCCCAGATGACCCTAGTTTGTGTCAAATTGACAAAAACTTAACTAGGCCATAGTTTTAAACCCCTTTCCCCCAAAATGAGGTAGGATAGGAATAAATGAATAAATGAATCAACTGGAATTACGGAGTTTAAAAAAAAATCAACCAAAGAGTGCTGTGTGTTCTTATAACTCAAATGGCGGGAACGGGTGGGGAGGGCGGGGCTGGCTTCCATCTTGGACACTAGGGTGGGGACAGTGGGAAAGGACAATCTTCTCCTCTTTGCTAATTCCTACTACCACATCCGTGTATCCTCCATGGTGAGTGCCAACCCTGTGGCCACAGGAACCTGGGTATTCCCCTGGAGTACGGAGCCAGCCCTTGAGAGACTGCCCACAGGGTAGCAGATGGTCTCCTGTCCAGCCCTCACCTCTGGCCACTGACATCCTTACTTTGCAGAAAGCAAAGAGAACGGGGCTGAGGGTGTGTCTTACCCTCTTCTTCCTCCCGCTTTTTAGGCTTTTTTTTTTTTTTTTGGTCAGACCAGAGGCAAGGCCCCGGGGCCTCAACGGAAGGACAGAGCTCAGGCAGGTAGAGTGTAAGCAGGGACTCGTACCCCACTTTTCTTGTCAGTCCCCAGAATCCAAGAGTGACAGTACCCACTCTGGCTGGGAATAACCTGCCAGACAAACTGGTACAATTCTCAGGATGCTGCTGCACTGGCTGACTCATCAGAGAGGGAGGAGCCTCAGGTGAGGCACCGCCTCCATGAGATCCAGCTGTAAGGCATTTTCTCAATTGGTGAGCAATGGGGGAAGCCCAGCCCATTGTGGGTGGGGCCATCCCTGGGCTGGTGGTCCTGGGTTCTATAAGAAAGCAGGCTGAGCAAGCCATGGGGAGCAAGCCAGTAAGCAGCACCCCTCCATGGCCTCTGCATCAGCTCCTGCCTCCAGGTTCCTGCCCTGTGTGAGTTCCTGTCCTGACTTCTTCCAATGATGGATTATGATCTGTAAATGTAAGCCCTTTCCTCCCCAGCTTGATTTTTGGTCCTGGTGTTTTGTCACAGCAATAAAATCCTAAGACAGATGCTAAAGCTCTGTTGAGGGACACAGAGTTAACGCCACCTCTGGAGTGTCCTCAGGATAGGGTGGGTATGGATTCTTGCCTTCAAAAAGGGGGGGAGGAGACATGGCCCCATTTCAGCAGGTGGCCTGTCATAGTTCCTTAAAAAAAAAAAAAGTCTTAGGTAGCTCAGGCTGGCCTTGAACCCCTTGTGTTGCTGAGGGTGACCTTGAATTTTGGATCTTCCTGTCCCTTCCACCTCCCAAGTGCTGGAATTGACTAGGGGAATGATGGACCCGGAGCTCCATGCATGCCAGGCAAGCCCACTACCAACTCAGCCATGTCCCCAGGCAATTTTGGAAAATGGGTGACAGAAATAGCCATTTGATGTCCCCAAACTAACCATGACAATGCCCTTCCTCCCTGGCCACTCTGCTATCCAAATCCTACCAGACGAGGTGGTGGCAGGATTCTTGGGAGGTAGGGGTTAGGACTTCAGGGTAACCACAGAGTATTAAATAACTGTCTCTTTAAGAGTCAGTTGCAGTGCTTTCACAGGTAAGGGACTCTCTTCTGGCTTCCTCTGGGTCCTCACAGCCCCAAAGCCACCTCCTAGCAACTCAGGAGGGAGGGTCAAAACGGGAAGGTGGGGTAGATTTCAGTGGCCTTGAGAAAGATCTGATGTGAAGGGGCTGGGTCCTTTCAAAGCCAGTCCCCAGGTCCCCCCAGTATCCTCGGGTCTTTTGTAGAACTATCAAATGCTGTCCCTCAAAGAGCATGTGATGCTGGGGTTGGGTCCTTTACCTTAGGGAGGTGTTTCCTTGGGTTCTTCTCCAGGACTGGAAAAGGTCCAGCTCCCTGCCCACCCTGGGACAAAGGCCCAGAAAGCAGGACATGTGGCCTCTAGTGCCATTGCCACTACGAGCCTCAGCTGCCCCCTCGGGGCCTGGCCAGAATGGAGCTGCCCACGCAGGGGTGTGGATGGCATTGCTGAGTCGCCCCAGCTTGGAGCTGTGCCCTGACCTGCTTTCTGTATGGGACAGACATTGGGGGAGGAAGGTAGAGCCTAGCAGGGTGATCTTTCCTCTTTCTGATCTCTGCCATGTCTTTGTTGTTGTTGTTGTTGTTGTTGTTGTTATTGTGGTGGTGGTGGTGGTGGGGTGTGTGTGTGTGTGTGTGTTTGGGGGGAGGGGAGACAAAGTAGCCAGGCCAATAAGGGGCAAGCCAGCCTTCTAGAATGACATGATGGACAGACAGACAGACATCCCTCAGGGCATCCTTGATTGAGTGCAGAGGTACTCCCCTGGAGGACAGTAGGGTGCTGGCTGTCAGTGCTCCACCCAGGGCCCTGTTACCAGAGACGACACAGGCCTTTGAGGCGCACACACGGGGACCAGCTGCAGCCTGTACTTACAGGAGGTCCTGAAAGAGAGAGAAAAGGGCTGGTCAGTGTCACTGCTGCCAGAGGGAGGGGGTGGGGAGGTCACCTTAGAAACAACATCCAAGAATTTCTCTGGCAAAGAGGTCTCCATCTGGTCTTCAAAGTTTGTCTTTTCCTGGCTCACTCTCGCTGGCGTAATTCATTTCCTCTTTATTTTCTCTCCATATTTTTATTATTGGATGAGAAACGCAGGGTTCTGGACCTCAGGCCCAGCCCTGAGAGGGGTCTACTGGTCACCACCCCTTACCTTCCTGCCTGTCAAATTGCATTCTTGGGGACCTGCCAGCATTTCAGAGAGGCCAGAGGAGGTGCTGGAGAGAGGGACGGACAGTGTTGCCTTCTCACCACTCCTGCAGGCTTTCCCAGGACATGCAATGGAAAACTGGCAAAAGGAACAAGTGGGGGGGGGGGGCACTCCAGTTCTCCCCTCCCTGCCCGATGTCTATCAGCCTGGCCTGGTTTCTGTTAGGCATTGAGTCAGATGTCTTGCCCTCCTGAGTCTGCCGCCCACTGCTGCTTTCCCCCACTTCTCCATCTCGGGCCCAGCCATTCTCTCTCCACGGGACTCCCCGCCCCCCTCCCCCGTCCACTTTCCCTTCTCCTGCACTGGACTTCAACAGCCCTGTCTCATTAGTAACAAGTTCAAGCAGTGTGAGGGCGGGAGCCAAGAGGGCAGAAAAGGAAGGTGGTCTAAATGCCATTTCTGTAGACGGGAACTATGGAAACCCCACAGCCCTGAGGGGAGGGGGCCCAGCTGTGTGTTCCCTCAGCCCCTGCTGACCTGACCATATCAGCTTAGAAGCTACTTTTGTTGTCTTTCATGCTCTGCCAAGATGGTTGCCTGATGTTCCCCCACCCCACCACCCCCTAGTTCCTTATGACCCCAAAGCCATGTTCTTGTCTCTTCTCTCCTCTGCCAGTATTATTCTGTGTTCTGGTCCCCATCCAGGAAGAAACAGCCCATCTCATGCTGGCCTCTGTCAAGCCATCATCTTCCGGTGAACAAAAAAAAAAAAAAGAAGAAGAAGTTTATTGGCCGGCTGGGAAGCCCTGTGCCAGATGGCAGGGTTCCAGAACAGGCTGGGGGCATCGTGGGTCAGGGAGGGATAGCATCTGGGACCTATCACGATGAAGGACAGGGGAATGTCATCCAGAATCTGCAACTATCTCAAAACACATAGGCTGCCTGGGTAGTCTGTGTCTCCCGGTTAGGGGACAAGTATTCAACAATGACAGAATTGAGCTCTGTTCGGCCATATGACAGGCAGCTATGCCGAGAGCCTATCAGGTCTGACAGGGCCCTGACTCCCAGTTCACAAGATTGGGGGATGCCCCTCATGATACAGGGTGAAAAGCTCTGGTGGGGGACCTTGCCTGGTACTAGTAATCCAGGAATGCCTCTGAACCATCTCTACGATGTACCCCTCACTTAGACAGCGCTTAACCTGGGCCACCTGTAGCTAGCTCTCTGTAGGGCTTCTCTACAGCTCCCAGGGGGCTTTGCTTTGCCAAGCTCTCACCAATCCCCAACCTGTCACTCACAGGGACTTGAGTGAGGGGGAAGCCCCTATGATGCCGCTGTGTCACTGTGTCGTAAGATGTCATCGCTGTGTCGTAAGATGATGGAGGCCTCGCAGGAGGGTTAGTACTGACAGAATCTAGAATCACCTAGGAGACCCACCTCTCCCAGTATGTCTAGGAGGAAGTTTCAGGATTCATCCTCTGCTTCTGCATCCTGACCACAGACACCGTGTTACCACTGACAGGAAGCTCTTACTGCCATGTCTGCCCCGCCCCCATAATGAATGATGACCACAAACCATGAGCCAAAATCAAGTTTTTCCTTCCTGAAGTTGCTAGCTCAGGGATCTTGTCACAGCACCAAGGAAAGCAACTAGCACTTCGTGGGAGGGTGAGTGGCTCAATGGGTGGCTCAGTGGGCAAATGCCGATAACCTGAGTTTGATTTCTGGGATGCGTACAGTGGCTGGAGAGAACTAGCGTGGAATAGACTCAGAAAGTTGACAGATGAGGCTTTGTTCTCAACAAACACTTTTCTATCAGTGGGGAAGATTACCATCATTCTTATGGATCTTTCTGGAAGGTCAAGGGAGAATCCAACAGTTACCTTCCTACCTCCTACTACTGCCCAGGCCTCCAGTGGGGACCCCTGGATTTCACAGCAGAGCCCCTGCCTGGGGCTGTGTTCAGTGAACAGTGTGCATGGGCAGCTGACCCTTTTGCAAAATGTGCTAGGGCTGCCATGTCATGTGTCTGTGCTCACTCTGTCACGTGACTCACGACTGGGCCATGTCTTCATCCAGGCACTCAGAGGACAGCTACTTCAAAGGGTCATCAACTCCACTTTAGACAGACTAGGTAGGGACAGAGGGGCCTAGGAGGTTGGCTGAGGATGTGAACAGTGCCCAGCCTCTGGACTCGTAACAAATGCACCATCACTCATGACCTGGGGAGGGGACTCTGTGAGCAACTGTCCACTCACTCCATCTGAAGAAGGAAGAAGGCACCTGTGCCTGTTACAAGCCATGGGGACAGTAGACTGACGGGAGAATGATGTAGATTGGTCCAGGTCACCCAGGAAGGATGGAGTGGCCTGTAACAGGATGCTTGGGGATGGTCCACAGCAGACATCCAGAGTAGAAACCTGTCTAAGACAGCGCTCCTCATACCTGTCACCTGTCACCTTGGCCTCTTTGAACAAAGCAGTCTTGCCTCTTCTAAATACACAAGCAGAACCAGACCCTGTGAAGAAACCTGGGGCAGCCAGAATTCTGAGCAGCCTTTTCCCAATAAATTCTTACCAGGCTATGGCTATATAAAGATGAGGAACACACAGGCCCTTAGAGCAGGGAAAATTGCACTAAACAAAACCAGCAGCAAGACCCAGACCTATGTGTTATCCAGACACCTGCCGCTGAGCTCTGCTGACTTAGAGATGAATAGCTCATTCCTATTGTTGAGAAGTTAGAGTATACTATGTGAGAGACCTGGGGAAGATCCAAAGAGCCTTGGCCCATGAGGGCCTTGGGAAGATGCCTGTGGTAGGAGAAGACATTCATTCATTCATTCACTCAACCAACACCAAGTGCTCAGGGCCCTTCATTCATTCACCAAATCACTAATTGTTCTAATCAACATTACACAGGGTGCACAAGGCATAGCGCTAATTAGACTTCGGTGACATCACATCCCGCTTAGGGCAAGCCTCGGGTGGGAGTGGCAGGCTTAGACCTTTTCACTGAGGTGGAGTCTGAGCTTTCAAACCTTTTGTTTACTCTCATGACAGCATGTTACAAGGTTGACATCATCAGAGGGGAACACCAGGCAATCAAGTGACAAGACACTTAAGCTGAAATAAAGGTCTCATGATGTTTGGAGAAAGTTGGGCTGCATTCAAAGCCATCCGCTGGAGGCAATGGTGACTTGTCACCTTAGACAGCTTAGACAGCACCTAGGCTCATTCTGTTTCTGTTCTTGTTTTAAGACAGGGTCTTTCCATGTAGTCCTGGCTGTCCTGGACTTCTCTCTATAGAGCAGGCTAGCCTCTAGCTTGGAGATCACCTGCTTCTGCCTCTAGAGTGCTGGGTTTAAAGGCGTACACCACCACAAACTCTTATCCAGGCTTACTTTTTAAGCTTTAAACTGTATATTGCCTAGCCTGGCTTTGAACCTGGCCTCTATGAATCTTGTGTTTTCCATGCTGGAATCAGGAGGTCCTTAAGGGTGGAAGGGTCTGCCCTCTCCAGATCTGGTCCTGGTCCTGGGCAGAGCTACTACAAAGTCACAGTGTTCTGAATTCAAGGTCACCCAAGCCCTGTTCTGAGCCTGCTTGACTGTTGGGCTCCAAGAAACTAAAATCTGAATCCTGTTTCCTACTCCCAGTGCCTGCCCATCTCTACCAGGACGGACACTGGGTACCCCAGACTCTCCAGAGACTTTGAATTATTTAAAATATATCCTACTCTGTCTGCAGAGCTGGGCCATCTCAACTGGGGGTGTCTTTACTTTCTAGGGACAGTTGGCCATGTCTAGAGACACCATGGGGACCTTGATAGGAAGGACTGAGGCCAATTTCTGGTTAAAGCATGTGAATCAATTGCCCCAGGAACATACTGGGCAAATCATGCTTTGTGTCTGACCCAGTAAACCCCAGTCTATGGATGAAGAAACCTTTGGCTGTGGTCAGATGTTCCAAGATGGTAAAGGAGCCAGAACCCTAGTTGGAAACCGCTCAGACCTGGTAGAGCTCTGGGAAGTGACAGGAGGCTTTAGAAAATCCAACAACTGTTCAAATCAGCACATCAGGTCTCCCGTGAGCCCGCCCACATGCACAGCTCTCCTGAGATTGGCGCTTTATAACCACACGCGTTGACAGCTGGAAACTGGCCTCGGTACGAGTTTACACTATAGAAATTGGTAAACGCGACAGAGCGTCCTTCCAACCCCACAAACCGGTTGTTAAACATCTTGGCGCACCGCAGCTCACATCTGTCATGCCCTCTTCAGGCACAGACATTTCCAGACGTTCCAGGTGAAAGGGAACACCAGGGGCCTGGGAGACATGGGCAGCAGGTGCAGTGTCTGTCTCCTGCCCCTCACCCCCCCACACACACACACCCCGGCACCACTATTGCAGAATGGAATGAAGCTCTCTGAGCAAAATGGCCACCGTCTTCCTCAGATTGCCTATGGCATATGCTCCTCATAGCCAAGAGCCCTGGCTGTCAGTGTTCTCTCTTAGGAGAGGATGAGCGTGTCAGTCACTGCTTCTCACAGCTGCTCCTTTTAGTCATCGGTATGCAGTTCTGTCCTAATTGCCGATAGCCTTGGGTGCCAATATATAGGCTGGAGGAGGTTAAGGAAAGGGACCTTCCACCTAGGTAGCTAGGGGAAAGCTGCCATTCATACTGGGTAAAGACTTTTCCATGTGGCTGCTTTGGGGTCATTTCAAGTTCCTGCCA